GCTGCAAGTGGACCCACAATGCTGTTAGGGAGGGAATTCAGGATTTCCACCCAGCAATACTGAAGGAATAGTGATATATTTCCAAGTAAGGATGGGGAGTGGCTGGGAGGGAATTCATGCCCAACATCCAGTCTCAGAGACCTACAGCACAGAAAAAGCCTCGGCTGACTCTGTCTGATTTAGTCACTATCATCTAAGGAGTCTGTTATCCCACTTTTATAGTGGACTCGAACATTTTTTCCCACCAACAATGTTATGCAAATTCCATGTTTTCTCTCTGACTTCCTTCTTAAATACTGGGGTTATGTTAGCTACCCTCCAAACCATCGGAACTCTTTGCGAGTGTATCGTATTTTGGAGTATAACCACTAGCGCAGCTGCTATTTCTAAGGCCACTTCCGAAGGTACTCTGAGATGAAAGTTATCAATCTCTGGGGATTTATCTGCCTGTTATCTCATTAGTTTTCCCAATTTGTTACAAGTCCACCTTCCAATTAGACCCTGTGATCCCCTTAATTTTGGGACATTATTTGTGTGCCCCTTTTTGAAAATCTAAGATATATTTAATTGGTCTGTCATCACTTTGCACTCCATTATAAAATTCCCTGTTTGATTGTAAGGAGACCTGACATTTTTCTTGACTAATCTTGGATTATCAATCTTCAATTAAGAGTTTAATGACAATCATGAAACCGTTGTTGATTGTCAGGAAAAACCCATCTGGCTCACGATTATCCTTTAGGAAAGAAACTGTCATCCTTACCCGGTCTGGCCTATATGTGACTCCACCCCCACTGCAATGCAGTTAACTCTGGGCAATCAGGGATATGCAATAAATTCTGACCTAGTTAGCAATGTCCACATCCTGTGAGCGTCTATTTAAAAAAAGCCGTTGGTTTTATGGTCCATGCAAGAGTACTCTCAGATTCTATTTTCTCCCTCTAATTAAATCCCTTTGTCTCCCTTTGCTGAAATCTAAACTGTTCCCAATCCTTAGGTCTGTTGTTTTATTTATCCACTTTGTATGCTGCTTCCTTAAATTTAATACCCGTTCATTTCTCTTTCTCTGCCATGGTTTGACCATGTTTCGATTTTATTTTTATGCCACAGCTTGTCCACGTCCTCTTTCAATGTTTGCCATTACCCATCTCCCATCATCCATTTAAATTGTGATCCACAATTTATCACAACTGGCTCACGCCTCATACCATTCTAACTTCTTTAATTACAGGACTCTCGTCTCAAAAACAACGACATCACTCTCCGTCTTAATGTTGAATTCTATCCTGTCATGGTCACTCTTCCTTAAGGGCCCATGCTCAACTTGATTGTCAATTATTCCTTTTTCACTACCCAATACTCATCTGCTTTTTCAACGTAAAATTGTACCACATATACACTAAGAATTCCTCCTCTATCTTATTGCTGCTGATGCTATCTGCTCAATTTATATGTAGGTTGAAGTCACCCATAACTTTATGCCTTGTATCTCTAAATTCCATTCTAATGCCTTTCCCAATATTACTGCAGCTTGGGGTCTATATACAACACTAATATCATTTTCTCTCCATTGGCGTTTGAACTCAACCCACAGAGATTCTACTTCACCACACCCTATATCCTGGCTCACATCATATTACTTTCCTGTCTTAGTCAGCAGTTCTAGCCTAATCCTATTCCATTTCGCCTGCCCAACCTATCCTCCTCAGACAACCCACTTATTCCAGGGTTCAATCTAGTAAACCTTCTCTGAACCACTTCGAATAAGCGTACAGACGACCAAAACGTGCACGAGGTATTTGAGATTTGGTCTCTTCCCTTCCCTGTACAAATGAAGCAGAACATCCTTACATTGATGTTTAATTCCTGTGATAATAAAGCATACAGCCTGTTGGCTTTCTGGATTAGACCGAGATCTTAGTCAATTGGGTCAATGGGCTAAAGAATGGCAGATTGAACTTTATTTGAATAAATGTTGTTTTATCCAAAATGGAATACTTCACATGGGCAGGACTTATACAATTAACAGTAGGGCCCTGGGTACTATTACAGAAGAGAACCTAGGCTTTCAGGTACATTATTCTTTGAAATTTGTTTCACAGGTGGACAGGGTGGTTAAGAAGGCATTCAGCACGCTTGTCTTCATTGCTCAGGTCTTTGAGTACGGGAGTTAGGACGTCATGTTGGAGGTTGTAAAGGATGTTGGTGAGGACTCTCCTGGAATACTGTGTGCCATTCTGGTAGTCCCGTCATCGGAAGGATATTATTAAACTGGAGTGGGTTCAGAAAAAAAACAGGATATTACTGGGTAAGAAGGGTTCGAGTTGTAAAAATAGGCTGGGACTTCATTCACCGGAAGATAGGAGGTTGAGGCGTAACCTGAAAGAGGTTTATAAAAGCATGAGAGGCTTAGATAAGGTGAACAGCAAAGGTCTAATCCCTCAAATGGATGAGTTCAAAACTAGGGGGCATATTTTTTACGGTGAGAGAAGAAAGATTTAAAAAATGACATGAGGGGTAACTTTTCTTTTCTTTTTACATAGAGTGTGCTCAGTGT